AGCTGGGTGGGGAGGGATGGGGATGTCTCAGAGCTCCGGGAAGAGGTTTGGGAATGACTCTGGGAGATATCAGAGCTCTGGGAAGAGGTTTGGGAATGACTCTGGGAGAAGTCAGAGCTCTGGGAAGAGGTTTGGGGATGACTCAGAGCTCCAGGAACAGGTTTGGGAATGACTGGGAGACATCAAATCCCGCTCCACCAGTCCCAGTTTTCCAGGGAATCCGTGTGCCGACGCAGGGAACGCCCCACGCAACGCTCCGGGAACTTTTGGGAATGTTCCGCTCCCAAAAAAAAACCCCAAACCACCAGGAATTCCAGCTTTAGGGAAAAAAAAGGCGTCCCCAGACCCTCCCGAAATATTTTGGGATCCTGGAATGTCCCCTCGCATTCCTCCCCTTTGTCCCAGCGCTTTCTTCCTGAGAATTCCAAGGAATCCTTGGCGCTGCCACCTGTGCAACAACCTCGATTTCCACCCCCCTTTTCCATGGGAAAGTCGGGAATATTTCCAAGCGAGGATAACATTCCCGATAAGAGCCGGCGGGACACGGAGGGGGAATAAAACAAACGTGGGAAGGGAAAAAGAAAAAGCAGATAAAGGGGAAAAAACCCTCGGAGCATTCCAAGGGATCAGAGGAGCAGGATCCCTCTCTCCTTCCCGATTTTTTTTTAGGGAGTTGAGGGATTTTCTATCCCTAAAAAGCGACGGCTGGAGGGTTTTTTTAGGCTGATTTTTGTGTGTGTTTGGCGTTCCCGAGGGAGGGGAACCTGACTTTTCCCCCCCCGGGAAGGGAGGTGGCCAAACTTCCAGCTTGGCCAGGAGATCTCCCTCCCTTCCCAAAGGGAATCCCAAAGCTCCCGGGACACCGGCACGGCTTCAAAAGCTCTGGAGTCAGCAGGAAGCGGGGCGGGACCCCGGGGAGCCCCGCGGAACCGGTCGGGGCGGCTCCCGGAGCCGGGACACCGGGAAAGGGATTAAAAAAGAACAGGGGATGGGGGAGCAGAGCGTGCCCGGGGTGGGGGTGGCGGCTGGAGCCCCATTCCCGGGAGAGGAACCCCATTGCCGGGGCAGGAACCCCATTCCCGGGGCAGGAACCCCATTCCCGGGAGAGGAACCCCATTCCCGGGAGAGGAACCCCATTCCCGGGGCAGGAACCCCATTCCCGGGACAGGAACCCCATTCCCGGGGCAGGAACCCCATTCCCGGGAGAGGAACCGATCCCCGGACCGGGTCAGAACCCCATTCCCACAACTGGACCCCAACATTCCTGGGACAAGAATTCCCCAGCTGGGGCTGGATCCAACTCCTGACCAGGACAGGACCCCGATTCCAGGGACAGGACCCCATTCCTGGGTCAGCACCCCCAGACCCGTTCGGGACCCCATTCCCAGAACCGGACCCCCATTCCCAGAACCGGACCCCCATTCCCAGAACCGGACCCTCATTCCCAGAACCGGACCCTCATTCCCGGGACAGGATCCTGTTCCCGGGACTGGACCCCCCCCCCCCCC